TTTCCACAGTCGATGAAAATGATGATGATTATACTAGCATCACAGAGACAGCAACAATCACCGTTGCACTCATTTTAATAATTCGGCAAGACGGAAAACCCGCAAAAAACGTGAACGGACTTATACGTGTCACAATCAAAATGCTTGGTTACTAGGTAACCTAGTTATGACAGTATAGATATCAACTAGAGATTTCACGCAGCCATTTCTCACGCAATTTATAATGAACCATGGATTTTTTGGACATTTTTTGAAGAAAAAAAAATGATCTGTGCCTTTATTGTGGTTTCTCGTACGGTCGTGTACACTCTTCTCAACGAATTCAATTCTTTGTTGAATGAATGTTGACTCAGGTTCTCAGTGCGTAACAATAGAATTGGACTGGATGGGAATCGGATTGCATGGAACATAATAGAAATGCGCAGCGACGCCATTTTGTACAGCAAAGCATTATGGTAGTTGAGTTCTAGTTTTGGGTTTCCTTTGCCGAATCTATTCGTTTATTAAAACCTCTTCAGTTCACTATATGTTTTACAACAGTTGAAGAAAAATTCGTAAACAAACATTGATGGGTAGCGCGCACTAACGGCGCGCGCACCAACACAAAACGAGAAAGGTGGACGCGCATACAAAACAACTAATTAATTAATTAATTAATTCTAGCACGCGGGATATTAGCAAAGTTTCACTCTTTCTTCGTGAAAGAAGAGGTTTTAATAAACGAAACTAGTTTTCACTATTCTTGGTAGTCCCTGGCCTGTACGTACGAAAATCATTATGTTGGAGTGATTTACATTTGTAAAGTTTATGGCTGTTACAAGATTTTTTGAAGTCTCGGCGAAAGCTATAATTTGTCAAAGATTTTTGGTATTCCTTTAGAAGCAAATATGAAAAACTTTTACATCTAATTTTCTGACTTCTCAGATTCTGGTTCATTTTGAAAATAGGTTTATGTCGTGTTTTGTGTCGTTCTTGATCTTGGCATCGTCTTTAATGGCCATTTCATTCATCATAACTGAAAAATACAAAACAAAGTAGAGAAAATTAGTCGCTTGCTCCGGCGCACGCGCGCGATTGTTTTGGCGGGAAAACGGAAGACTGCGTCAAATCAGAAAATATGATCAACTGCAAAAAGTCGACTAATTTTTCGCACTGATTTTGGTAAGCAAAATTAAAATTATGTAAGTCGACGGGAGATAAAACGCCGCGAAGACTTTTGCTGTTCGCGGAGTTTGGCGACGATGCATGATTCTCGTTTTGTCTAAAAGCAATGCTACAGAAATACTATGCTAATGAACAACAGCAACGTTCCACAACAAGCTAATAGTTTTTATATCTCGTATTTCTACAACTTTACTTATAAAAATGTTCTTCTACCACTTCCTAAAGTTCTCAGCGTAACGCATATTACTGGAAAAAATCGCGCGCTTTTAAGGTTGTAAATTTGATGTAAATATGATGTAAGTGTCCAAAATTCTGTAAATTTGATGTAAATGATTTTTTTTTACCAGAGTTAGTTAGTAAATGGGAACAGTCTACTAACTCCGATATTACTAAAAATGCATAAAGAAGCCTACTTTGAGATAAAAAATACATATTTTTTTACACCGGGAATCGACAAGGTTAGTAAASCTGCTTTTCGTGTATTTACAATCTATAAAATCACCTTCGTCGCCGACAACTTCACGRGTTGGCATTCCTCTTRTTTCTGGTAAAATTATACAACTAAAAGCAGCGAGGAATGCGCCAGCTCCCATTAAAGTAAAGGGTAGAATAGCACTGATACGAGACATTTGGACCACAAACGGCGACGCTGCAGCTCCTATACGGCTAGTTATGATCATCAAACCCATGCCTGTGTTCCTGTTAAAAAGAAAACTTTCTAACTGCTTGATAAAAGCAAGGTCAKTCTAACATGTCTGAAAGACGCAAATGAGATGGGAAAGAAAGATAATAGAAAAGGAAGGAAGGAAAATGATAAAAAGAATAGAAACATGCAAAAAATGTTGGAAGGAAATATGATAATTTAAAAAACTTAAATCCAATTCTATAGTACTGAATTTAAAGCTGCTTTTGCAAATTAGAGTACCTCTACAATTCAAATCTRTCTCAAATCGACCAGTTCCATTGTCGACTCCCATGAAATAGGTTTATGCATTAAAAAAGTAAATGACATCATACCTGACAACAGTTGGAAAGATTTCTGCGGACCAGATATATATAGTATTGAAGGAAACAATGATGAACAGCTTGCCAAGAGAACCCAGCGTCACTCGACCAACTATAAATCCTGAAGAAATGAAATTCTATAAACTGTACTATATCAGGAGTCCATTGAGCTCCTGACTACATCTCCGCAGACCTTTTTTCAACGTGAAACCTCATTAATGCATTAATGAATAATTGCTAAAAATATTTTTCATAATGGTTTACTTTTATTTCATTAAGCCCTATTATTAAGCCTTCCTATATAATGTATATAAAAGAAAACATTTAAAATGTTTAAAAAGCTTAAAAACTAAAAAAAATAAACCCATTGCTTGGGCTCCCTGTGCATTCAATGCACATTGCTAGAGGCAATGGATTGGTACAAGTCGTAAATCGACGTCACCCAATCAAATACCTGTATTGTCTGTTCCTGAAGGTATAAAAGACACAGCAATGCAACAAATGGCGCCAGCTATAAAGTGACCAATCACTGTCTTCTTCCGACCAAACCTGTGGACGTAACATATCAATGCATCAAATCACTGCAAACCATCCTCCATAGCCTAGTACAATATGTAAAAGTATTGCAATACAAATACTACTATTAATAGACCTCTGAATATTCTACATCACCTATGAGCAATACATTGTGGGATTGATTTCTGGCAAAAACAAAAGAAATCCGCCATGTTGTGTCCCAAACATATCCCACAATTCATTGCGTATACGGTATATGACGTAAAAGCTTCATAAGGTCTATTAAGCTAACTTTTGGCTTGGAAACAAATTTCCTCAATTAGGATTCCAACCCAGGGCCACTGATTTTGTGCTGCCGGCGCTCTACTACAGATCAATAGATCGCGAACTGGGAGCAAGCCGTGATTCTCCTATTCTATTCGTAAAGGAACTAAGGTGATTAAGGCATATTAGTAGGCATATCAGCATATTAGTTGATTCTGAGCTGAAGAATTAAGGTTAACAAAAATCACATTAACACCTTACCGATTTGAGTTGTCGATGACCAGGTAATTTCCTGGAATCCCTACAAGACTGACCATGACAAAGTTCAAGTAAATACTCCCTCCTAATTCACCAGAACTTAACGATACACCATAATATACCATACCATTTATAAACCTAACAAAGAGAACAACACAAAGTCGTTGAACAAAACAATAGATATAAGTCAGATTATCCAGCAGTATTGCTGGATATCTTAGATATTTATTGTTTGTCTGTTTGCATGTTTTGGTATGTCGGTTTGCTAGATGGCTGTTGACTGATTGCTTATGGTTAGTTGTTGATTTAGTTATGGCTCGTTTTGTTTATTAGTTGCTCAGGTTTTTCAATGCATCCATAATGTATACATACCACGCATAGCACTGTACAAGAGTCATCAATGCCATTTTTCTGCCGCGAAAAAGCTCCAAGAAACCTTTAGAGTCATGAGATGCTGGGACCGCAAGGTCGTCTGTTGGCATTTCTTTCTTATTAACTTTAGCCACATTAGTAAGTATATTCAGAGCTTGTTCCTTTTTACCATGAACGAGAAGCCAACGAACAGACTCGGGAACAAACCTATTGATAGCGATTGCT